TCTGCCTCGGCGTCCCCGCTGGGCGCCCCGTCTTTGCCCGTCCGCCACGCTGCTCTGGCCTCCGCGGGGGCATCCTCTGTCACAAGCGCAGCAGCCGCAGCGCGGGCGTTTCCCGGCGGCAGCGGAATCGGGGCCGCGGCGGCGAAACCTCGGGCGGGTGGCAGCGGCGCCAGCGGCAGCAGTTCCCCGCGCTCGGCGGCCGGTTCCTCGGCCAGGGAGACCGCGGCTTGGGCAGCGCCCGCGAGCAAACCGCTGCTTTTCGTCACTCTGCCCGACATCGGCGAGGAGGGCGCACCGGACGCGGACCCCCAGGAAGAAGCTGCTGTGCCCAGGCAAGTTGAGGGACCCCGGTTTCCTGGCCCCGCGCGGGGACTTAATAGCGGCTGAGTACTTTCTGAAGTGCTGAGGAGAATCGTTTCCGCACTTATCTGAGCTTCTGATCAGCCCCAGAAGTGGGAACATTCCCTTCACAGCTTGGAAAGAAGGCAGAGGGAAACAGATACATGTGTGTCTTACCCCAGCCATCATAGCAAATTATCATTTGCAGGATACCTTTAAGGATGCATGGTATCCAAAGTCTTCACCAGCCTGTTCCACTTGGTCGATTGTCTTCCCTAGGTTGACTCATAGGTGGGCTCAGGAGACTATGGTTTGAAAAGGTGCCAAATTAATCCAGTTAAGACTCAAGATCCAGAAGGCCAAGCAGGGGAAAATGAACCCTGATGCTTTAGCAGCCTGTTTGGTGATCAATAGCAATGATTTCCAATCTTACGGAAAAGCTTAAATGGTTCAAAAGACCACAAGGGTGAGGGGCATCTTACTGGTCCTGGTATTCCATTCACCGTATTTAGAGTTGGGCCTCAAAAAGAGCCAGGAAATGGAAGAACAATCTGTGACGCTGCATCGCACTGAAACTGCACGTGGGGCATGTCTGTTGGCTTCTAAATCCCCATCCTTGTGGAGCGGGAGCCAATATGGGCTAGCTTTCACTTTGATATTATTATTGGCAGATTTTACTTTTAAAAAAATCCTTTAAAATTCCTTGATGTTTAAAAAGAAAGTGTATCTTTATTGGCTCAGCAGGGGTATATATCCAGAAGAATTCTTTGAGCTAACCTACTGCAGAAAGAAATTACCTGTAGCTGGTTTATTGGAAACTCCCTCCCTCCCCACCATAATGGATGTAGATTGCAAATTGGACTGTAATTCTCAAATTAGTAGACCAGAGTATTTGTCTTTCCTAAGTGAAAGCCAGTCCTGGCTGTGACCATGGAAGAGCTGCTGGATGCACTGCCCTGATTCTCTTTGCTCTGTGTTTCTTTATGGTGTGGAAAACAGATCAGGCTGTC